ACCCTAAATCACCACAATTCATAATTGGAAGTTTAAAAGTAACGACTCTTGTAACTTACCTGTTTTGTAGTAATTTTTAATAAAAAAATTGCAATGTTTATTTATTTTATTGAACATATTAAACTAAAATGATGCAATGTTTTTTTTTGTAACCTTCACCCATAACTAGTTGATTTGTTACATAATGCTCTTTAAGTATGTATGGCATTTGTATGTATTTTAATTTTCCAGGTGGCTGGTATATGACCATTGAAACTACAAACGTTTGGGCAAAGCTAGTCAGTCGCAGTTTCATGAACAGTGTTGGACAGAAAAGATGCTTCAGCTTCTGGAGAAACATGCAGGGAAATAACATGGAAAATGTGTTCATGACAGTTGAGATAACTAAACCTGTGAACAAAAAAGTCTGGTCTGACTTTAGTGGCCTTGGAAACAGGTGGCTGTATGATGAAGTAACAATTGAAGCCACCGAAGAGGCAGATATTGAAGTTAGTGTTAAGACTTATTTAGAGAGGAAATTTAATATTAAAAAGTTATGCATATTTAGCTAGTGGTAGATAATAATGAGGTTTTTATTCTTTTAGTGAGATAAACATTTAAGTTACTGTTGGTATTCTGGTAAGCAAATTACAAAATAAGTAGACCTATTCTTCTGTACATTTGTGATATTTTATATGTTTGAGTGTGACTTGCATGAAGTGAAATATATGATATTAAAAAGATGGTCCTAACATTTTGTAAATTCTATCATGTGCAAATAATTATTTCATGTGAAAGACATGCTGGTGTTTTAAACCATATATAAACACCATATAGAGAAATCTAATATTCAATATTTTTACTGGCACGGATTCTACATTCTGGAGGGTAATGCTCTTTACCGTATATATTTTTTTTCAGGAAATTTCCAATTTTATATATTTTAGTTTGCCATCAATTACAAATTTTCATGTATTATCTTTAAAAAGAAAAAGTGCTTTAAATTGTTTTGATGTAACACAAAGAAACTCCTAATTGTTTATTTTGTGTGTGTGTGTGTGTGTGGAAAATTGATATTTCTTTTTTTTGGTGAACATTAGAAATTAATTGAAGATTAACTATTTTAATATTCACATATTTAAATAGCCAAACAGCACATGAACTCTAATATTTCTTCTTCCATGAAACAGATAACTGTAATGGGCTACCACCCTTCTGGAGGGCAAGTGCTTTTAGATGATGTAAAAATCCAAAAGGGAGCCTGCACAGGAAGTAAGTAGGATCATTTTAACTTAAGAAACTAACTTAATATTTTCAAACTTGACCTGAAATTTAAAAATCCCTTCATGGGAGTTTCCCTCATTTGTTGGGCTATTTACTGTTCATATCTATTCATTGGACTTGAATCTTGATAAAAGAATTTTGGAGGAATGGATAGTCAGGCAATAATGACTTGTTCATTTCTCAGCCCCATCGCATCTGTTTGTGACCTGTGTGAGAATCTAGTAATGGTATTCTCACAAGATACTAACAATAACTTATTTTTTGCAGTATGTGTATCTGTTTAGATTTGTTGCAATTCTTGTTAAGTCAGTGTTTTATATTGCTGAGAACTTGAAGGCAGTATTTCTGTGGTCTTGTTGTTAAAATGCATCATATTGAATAATTTGTTATTTTACATATTACAACGTTGATGTTTTTGTGGCAAAAACAGATACTTAATTCTACTTTTATAACTTTTCAGCTGTAATAACTGGTACCTTAAAATTAATTTACCACAAATTTTTACTCTGTGCATTGGTATAATTAAATACTGAATAAAGGTATAAAGAGAAGATAAGAATTCACCTTTCTCCCCCTTGACGATGCACTTAACTTAAACCTGTAAGATAAACTTATGTTAGACGTATAAGACACTTTGATTAGTTTAACTAAATGCTGAATGAAGGTACAGAGAATAGGTAAAAATTCACCTACCTCGACCCACATTAGCACATTTGATTTATTTAATTTTAACTTTACTTGACAGTACTGGAAAAGAGGAAGAATGGAAAGATAAATATGAAAAGTTATACTTACCACTGTGTTCTTTCCTCTCGTAAATTCACACTTTAACATAAGAAATATACAATCATACATTCTACCAGGGTGTCATCTCCAACTTTTGTTGGTCAGTTGTAGCTCTCCTTCTTCCCCAGGAAATAGAACATTATATTTGTGACATAGTGAACCATATCAGAAGTTGAATTCCAGTAGACCACCTCTCTTTGTAAATAAACACGACTCTTCTGGTAGCCATCGTTTAGTGAATTCCACTTCTGTGAGTCGTCATTAATCATAACTCACTGTTATCCTGATATTTGATCTAACTCTTCTTTATATTACAACATTCAAGGTGAAGAAGTGACAGACAAAATGGTTGAAATATGGATCTAATCAGTTATACCTTTCATACGTGTGATTAGAAAATCTATATTAATGTTGTTTTTTCTTGGTGACTCTTGAACATTTGTTGTAAAAGTATAATATATATTTCTTTATGATAGTGAGTACGTGTTCCTTTTTGTTTAACCCTGGTTTATTTCACTTAAATTTTCAATTTACACAAGATGAATAACTGTTGACAACAAGTACACAATTTCATTATTTGCTAGGTAAGCAAGGTGTAAACTGCACTTTCGATGAAGGGTCATGTGGATGGATGAATGAGTCACCGACCAGCACTGCTGGCCACTGGGTAATCTACAGTGGTGCCACTCCTCATCATCGCTATAACACTGGACCAGAGGCTGACCATACCACTGGAGGTAAAGTTTCTTTGTTTTAGAAACATTTAGTACTTAAGCATATAAATACAAATATGCTATAGTTATGATTTTTTTTCCAAGTATTATACATGTAGGTATTTTAAATTTGCATTTGAAGAGGTAAGCATGTGTCATAAAACTATTAAAACTGATTTTATTATTTCACTTCTTATAAAAATGCTCACTGAAACTTCTCATAAATTTGAACATATTTACTTTTAGTGTCTTTTTTTTTTTGGAAACATGAATACTGAGTTGGTCAAACAATGAAACATTTTTGATAACTCAGTTCAAAAAAATTCTTAAATATATGGTTATAGTAATTGTTAATGATCACTAATGGCTAAAAGTGCTAATATTGAAAGTTTTAAAATTTTAATTTTAGCTTTTTTGTTTATTATTTGTTTATATGCACATGATTTCTATAATCAAACACTGGCATTGAAAGAGCAGTTTAGATATAATTTAATGTTGGTTGTAACTTGTTTCCATCTTCAAGGACAATCCATCTCTGGCAGTTTTAACATTAACATTGATTTTATAGAATAATAAATGAATTTGTTTTATTAATATATTTTTTCTTTAATTTTGACTACACTATATGAAGAGCCATAAATGGCAGCCAGAAGATATCCTTGTATGGAACAAATTTTCCTACTGATAACATTCTGGACTTTTGGATAAATAACTGATGTTTATGAATTTCAAATAAAAGTCACTCCTGATGAGAAATGTCTTTACTAAAGATAATGACATTTTTATTCCATGCAATGGAACTTTTAGTCACAATAATGGAAAGATTAAATAACAATAAGTTGCTGTTGAATTTACTACCTATCTACCCTGTAATCTACCAGCTCAAGATTAGGGGATTTCTTGTACAGATATAAAACAAGCAAAACAAATTTTCAGCTGGAATTTTAAAGGTCTCTGCTGAATTCTTAAATTAAAATTGTAAAATACTAAAAATAGGATATGTAGAAATAAAAAGTAAAAGTGTACAATGTTTCGGAAGTAAACTCATCAAAATGTTATGGACTTTTATTCTGTAACTTTATGTATGTCATGATTTTTAAATCATACTTTACAAAATGTCTTAATCTTTAGAGTTCTTAAACATCCTTGTTAGTGGCAAGGATAAGCACATGAAAAATTGGCATATTCACAGTTTGTTACTTTGACAGATTTTGAAGAATGTAAAATACAAAACAATTATTACAAGTACATCATAAAATAGTCTACATTTGACAATCACAAAATAAAACCCAAGCAATTTCCAAAGATAAACCTTTTGAAAGTTCTCAGGGTAATGAGCTCCTAAATTTGTACTATATTTGATAAATGTTTTTTGTTGGCATTAATTTTAGCATTTTAACAGGAATGTATCTTGGTTAAAACCAGTATCACAGAGAGCAATTCATTTAATTTACATTTTAAAGACTAAACTCAGCCAAAAGTTTAGTATATGCTTGTTTTCTTTATTACTTTTATTTTGTTGTTACACTTTGCACTTATAGTAAATCTTATAGAAGTCTTATTCATTCAATTATAAAGTACCCAAAACTATTTCAGGTATTAATCTGATAAGTTAAAAAGCTGGAATGGAAAGAATACCTTCATCGGGTAAAGTTTCTGGAACACTTATTAAAGCAATGGTTTAACAGAAAATTTTTAGTGTATTTCATTTTATGTGCAAAAACTTAATATTTTTATGTACAATATTTAAAAAGTTCCTACTCTAAATAAATTCAAATTTGGTATTTTCAGTGTATTAAATGTAAATAATTTACTGTGATTAGCCAGTCTGGTCCAAGCAAATCTAGTTTTTCCATGACTGGTTACCAATATCCTGAAGTACAATTAGCCATACTTGTAACCAAAAAATATGTGATTTATTTGCATATTCCAAAAAAATCTTATTTCTTGATAAAATATGTAATTGTTTTGTTTTGTAAAATTTAAAATTTGGAGAAAAATGGTTAGTATGAATTTTACATTATTTTTTAATTGTCTGTTTGAAATTATGATCATATATTAAGTTTAATATTTAGTATAAACCTTTTTCCAGTTTAGTTTTCAACCACACTATGTATCATTAATGGCTAAATTCTAATACCCCAAAATTACACCTGTGGTCACGAGGATTTAACTTCTGCTTCTCTGGATCTATGATATTTGAGGGTTATTGTGTATAATAAGTAGGATCACCCCACTTTTATCCAGTGATTTCATTTATTACAACCATGCCTTAGAACAGTGTCATGTCTGTAGCTAGAGTCATGCCTGAGAAAAGGGTAATGTCTGTTACTATAGCCATGCCTTAAAAAAGTGTGATATCTGTAACTACAGACATGTTTTAGAAAGGGGTGATATCTGCTACTACAGCCATGCCTGAGAAAAGGGTAATGTCTGTTACTACAGCTATGCTATAGAAAGGGGTTATGTCTGTTACTACAGCTATGCTATAGAAAGGGGTAATGTCTGTTACTACAGCCATGCCTGAGAAAAGGGTAATGTCTGTTACTATAGCCATGCCTTAAAAAAGTGTGATATCTGTAACTACAGGCATATTTTAGAAAGGGGTGATATCTGGTATGTCTGAGAAAGGGGTAATATTTGTTGCAACAGCTATACTTGAGAAAAGGGTAATGTCTGTTACTATAGCCATGCCTTAAAAAAGTGTGATATCTGTAACTACAGACATGTTTCAGAAAGGGGTGATATCTGCTACTACAGCCATGCCTGAGAAAAGGGTAATGTCTGTTACTATAGCCATGCCTTAAAAAAGTGTGATATCTGTAACAACAGACATGTTTTAAAAAGGGGTGATATCTGCTACTACAGCCATGCCTGAGAAAATATTGTATCTGTAACTAGTGCCATGCTTCAGAAAAGAGTTATTCATACATTAGTCACTTAAGTGCTGCAGACTTCAAAAATTAAATAAATAAGTGATGGTTGAACTGTAGTTTAGATATTTGTTTTCCAAGTATGATGGCTGATGAGAATCTCAGATAAAGTTTCTTCAGAAATAAAATTTAGTGTGATCTTCAACTATATAACTTATAAAGCTTTCAAGTACATTTATAGTTACAATTTGTCTGTTGTGAGTAAAATCATGATATGCCTACAGGAACAACTTGAAAGTATCAAGGTGATCATAATTTATTTTGTTTTCAGTCAGTAAACCACAAAGATAAAAAATATATTCAAGAACTTAAAAAAAAGAATATTGACAGTTATACAGTTCTTTAAGTCATAATTGTAGATCTCACATTTTGAAATTTGCTCTATGTAATCATTTCTTACCTAGATGGTTGGTATGCCTATTTTAAAAGTTTTCGGGGGCCTTCATCTGCTGTTGCCGTCTTGAAAAGTCCAGATGTATTTGTGGGTCATTTGTCAAGAACCATGTGTATATCTTTCTATTACCACATGTATGGTGTTGGAAATGGACATCTATATTTATTGATAAACAAGGGAAACACAGCCAAAACTGTATGGGAAGTGTCTGGGAACCAAAAACAACTATGGCGACGAGCAACTGTACCTATAATTGTCAGCAACATATTCAACGTAAGTTAGCATTTCACTCACTGAGTGCATGAAGTTGAGTTTTACAGCAGTATAATTAATGTGTATTTTACAAGTTTTTATAAATAGATCATCTTCCTGATCATGGATCTGGTAGAGAAGCATATTTCGAAGTATACACTACACTATGTTTATGGAATAGCTTGCGTTAATATGTTTCAACCTCTTGAATTGTATATTTTCAGTTTCTAAAACAAATTTGTATTGAAATCATAGCAAATTGAAGAAAACAAATTGAAGTAAACATCAGAACCAGGAAAAGAAATGTATTATAGTAGATTATTTATTTTTCTTTGGTTCACAGCAACTTCTTATTTTATTAAACCAAATTAGCATATACTAAATAATTTAAGCATGACACAAAATGTATCTTAATATCTAGTCATTATAGTAGTTTTTGGAATATAGTTTTCTAGGTGAAAGTGTGAGAATACCAGCAGTTCAGAGTTCAGTGGAAATGGAAATTTTGTACCACTAACCTTATACATTAAACACAAAGCGTTATCACGTTCAAGTTTAAAATTTGAAGCTTTTAAAAAAAGGAAGGTATTGTTTTTAAGAACAAATCTCACAGAAATTTTTTCTTATGTTTGTTAACTCTATTAAAAGAAATGTACCTTAAAAATCACAAATTACAAGAAGTAATGGTTTTTAACTTATTACATTTAGACTGAGCACCTACAGTGTGTTTATGATACTTTGTACGCAGTAATTAATTTTATTATTTTTCTGCACTATTTCACATAAAACATTTGTAATACTTGTTAGAGTTAAATTTTTCTGCATTTCATTTGCAGCTAGCTTTCAAAGGTACACGTGCTTACACAAGCCCAAACTATCCTAACAACTGGTACAAATACTTGGATGAAATGGCTGTTGATGATGTCACTTTAACAGATGGACCTTGCACCCAAGGTAAATTCATTCTTTTACTAATTGTTTTAACATTATCTGAGTGAAAATCCCCATAGAGGCAAGGAAAAGCAACTTATCATAAACAAGTATTACTTTACAGTTACCCAGTTTCAGTGCACATGCACTTCTTATGTTGACATTACTGTATGTCAAAATATAAAGTACGGTTAAAAATGTCATGAAAAAAAGCCAGTAAGTTTTCATTGTCTAGTTCCATTACTCACTTATCCAGTATTTTATCAAGCTGTTTCAACAGCTGGCTGAGTATTGTATTACTCAAGAGTTAGTCAGTATTAAAACATAGTATATGAATACTGTTCTGCTACATGCACAAATTACCCTAACTTGACAAGTAAATCTTGAACAGAAATTATAAAAATTAATGATTGCTTTACTTGCAAAATGTCCTCTCTATCTAGGACACAACTTAAAACTGGCTGAATAACACATTCAGTAATCAGTCAATAACATAGTTACAGTTCAGCAAATGACTGAATGGCACTCTGACTAACAAATGAACTCACTCATTCACATCTTTTTATATTCTTACACTATTTTTCCCCATATATGTATAGAATTCGTTATGTTGCGTGTTTACCATATGATGTTATTTCTTGAACTATGGAATCTTCCAGAGTCACACATAATAATTTCATCATGTTAAAACTCCCTCTAGTGAATAGAACATCTAAATAAAAATATTTAAAAAATAGCCCACAATACTGCCCTCTCCCTAGATTATGAAGTCCATTGAACAGTCATAATACACTTAATTAAAATTCCATAATTAAAGATAAAGTCATTGTTTACAATTAACAAAAGTTAATATTCTGAAATATACATTATAATCACTAAGTATTTAATTAAATGTGTTAATCATTAAATTGAATTAAACCAAATACAAGCACATTTCTGATTAACAAAAAATCTTTGATATCTTATTACTGTGAAAAGTGTTCATTCACCAAATCTTTTTGAGGGTTTTCTTTTCTGAGGCTTATAGTATAGTGATGGTATGACCTCTTGTCTGTTTCATTACTTGAGACCTTCTTACTGGGAGAGTTTTCTCTAGGTGACTATATCCTTGTTGATACTATGGAAGTGGTCTCTGTCATGAACCCTGTGCTCTTCAGCAAGTTGACTTAACACTGACAAAGTCTTCTCTGAAGCTAATCTAATCAGATTGGCCATTTTCTCACTAACATACCTCTAAAAATAATCATGGTAGATGACTTGGCTTCTACTGCTGGTACTTCTGGATTCTGTAAACCACATTCTTGATTTTTTCACCATAATATATTCTTCTTCTCAAAACTTGCTTAACTTCAGAGTTTCTTCTCTCTCTTGTTGTGGGGATTGTAGAGCCATATTTTGTCACCTCGATGAAATCCAGTCTTATCAGCATTAACATCAAAGCAAATTTTCATCTTATCACTAGCTGATTTAAGTCTTTCCTTGGTAAAATCATGTATAGCATTTATGATGTTCCTTATTCTCTCTGGATGTTATGTGTAAGACTCGGTTGTGTGACTATCCTACAGATGTGATTACAGTCCAATGGCACTTTAAGTTATCATGCCTGTAACTTTATGCACTGCTATTTAATAACTCAAAAGTAACAGTGGAGGATCTTATTCCCACATTTTCTGATGTTCATTCACATAGATGGCTAACTGATTTAAAAGTAAAGGATTGTATCTCTCCACCGTTTCATCATAAGATAGATAAATGGCTGTTGTCCTGTGCTTTTTAATTCCAAGGACTTGACAAATTTTAACAAACAAAGCTGTTTCAAACTTCCATCTCTGATCTGAGTGAAGTTTCAGAAGCACTTCATATCATGAGACAAATTATTTCACAAGACTCTCAAAAAGAGAATTAATATAAAACAGTAACATTTAATCAAATTGGTACAACTAGCCACATTTATTTGCTTTCAATACAGAGATTCATACTTCCTTCAGTTACACGGACTTTTCATGGGAAATCCATCAGGAGGTACTTTGGCCACTCTTTTCTTACATCACACAGAACAGCATGCCATAGTCACTTCTATATATAAGCCTGCATTTTGGCTTAGATATGTAGATGATGTTTTTTGTGGCTTTTCTTGTGAAGACTAACAAACAAAATTCCTCCAACACATGAACAACCTACATAAAGACATACAATTCACAGTTGAAAATGAAAACAACCACACAATAAATTTTTTAAATGTTAATATCACACAAGCCCCTCAAGGCTTCTCCACTAAAATTCATTTAAAAAACACATACAGCAGAAATGACATAAACTGGTTTCTAATCATATAATCCACCAAAAGTTAGGCACTCTAAAAAGCCTCCTAAATTTAGGATACACTTTTTGCACAACAGAAAACATCAATAAAGAAGTTGCAAACTTAACTCAATGCTTTACTAATGTTAACCAGTTCTGTACTAAAGTAATTACAGAAATTATTAACAAACTAGAACAACACACACAAGAGGCATTTAACAAACAGACAAACTCAAACACTCCACAAAACAAAGGAAACCTAATCACTTGCACTATTCCATACATAGAAAATAACTTCTTCTTCATAAGTATAGTAGGTGATGCTCATGGACAAGTGCTGTGTTTTATTACTCCTTGTTCCTTCGTGTCTTGTATGTAAGTTTATTGGTTTGAGTATTTTACTTCTTGGTGGTTCAATAACTGCCCTCCTTATTCTGATGTTGTAACTGTCTTGTAATATACATATTAAACTATTTGAAGCAAGTTTGACTTCACACAAAGTCAATTCACAATATGTACTCTTCCTTGATGTCACTTATCCACACATGATGAGGTGTAGAGAAACATATAACAGTAACTTTCATCTTGCTGGAACCTTACGTCCACTTGTTCACATCAATCTGTCTTCTTGCTTCCTCTCTGGAGGAAGTTTCCCAGCTTTCATCACCAAATCAGATCAAACAGTTGCACGTATTGAACAAGTGTTGATCAAGACACTGCAAGACTTCAATAAACTCATTGACTAGCTTCCTTAAATAATGAATTTTGTATTTCCTGGCGGAACTTCTCCCCTTATGTACAGTTAATTCTGTTTTCTAGTGTCTTGTTAGATCCTTATTGTTCCTTTGATCTGATTGGGTTCTGGGACACTTCCTTATGGTTTATTTCCTTGGTTTATTATCAGTTGTTCATATCTCACAGTCTTGGCTGTACTGGCCATATTTCCCATATTTATCACTGTTTCCTTTGTCTGTCACCCTTTGGAATGAGCTTTTATTCCCTGCAGCAGTGGGTTCAAACTGTGAAGCATGCCTCCTGAGAGGGGGGCACGAAGCAGTGGCTGGGGGGGAGCAGTCTTTTGCCAGGAGAACCAAAAAATAACAATGAAAGAAGCAGAAAAAATTAATTTTTAACACTTTAATTTTTCCTGCTAATACCTAAGAAATAAACTGATTAAAGAGAGACAAATAAACTACTGTAATTACTGTTATTGTCACTTTTGAAAATTATTCAGTATGAATGAGGGGGGGGGCATGAAAAATAATGCTGAGTTGGGGGGTGTCACTGCCCTATAGGCTTCATTTGTGGTCCCTGAAAATGCATCTTTTCAAGTTGCATTTACTTCCTCCATTCTGTGTAACAAGGTGTCTAATCTTTTTCAGTTCTTCTGGACTGTCATCAGGGGGAAATGATGTTTCAATACTACTTGATGTGATCACCCCATAATTTCTAGATGATGTCTTTAGTTGTTTGTCTGCAACTTAAATGGATTCAAGTTCCATCACCAACTGGACAGTTTCTTTTAAAGATGTTTCCCTAATTCTCATCTCCTTGTCATCATGTTCCAATGAATTCATCATTTTACATGAATAATCCAGGTAATGTAATTGAACAAGCCTCTCCAACTCTTCTGCAAGTTCAGCTAAAATAATTTCTTTGCTCCATAGTTTACTTCTTAACTTTGCTATGGATACTTCCTTCTCGTGTATCACTCCAAATGTGTTGGATAAGACAGCCACCAATGTTTGATTGTGGTTATGACTCTCAGCTGGAAGGTTGTTTAATGTTTTTTAAAGCTGGTCCTTTTAAATGGTCATCAATGAGACATTCTTGTTGTTCAGTACTTCATCTATTCACTTTAGAAATGACTTTGAAATGATCATGATATTTTTCTCATCATTATTTGTTGGTCCTGGCATGGCCTGGTGGTTAGGGCACCTGACTCGCAATCTGCAAGTCATGCGTTCAAATCCCCATCAGTAGGGGCATTATAATGCAACTTTCAATCTCACTGAGTTGGTGGTGGGTGGTGTTGACTAGCAGCCTTCCCTCTAGTCTATCACTGCTAAATTAAGGTCAGCTAGCTCTTGAGCAGCTTTGTGCGAAAGTCAAAACAAACAAACAATTACCTGCTGATTTCTCAACTAGGAGATGTTGAACTAGCCAGCTAAGTTCTGGAACAGGATTAGGTAATGACATAGCTGGAGTAGTCCATTATTAAGGTCTTTTGGTCTCGGGTGGCACAATAATAGTAGGTTCTTCTATTCCATATGGTGTTTTAGGGTGAAATTCTTGGGTGAATGAAGAAAGAGGTGTAGCTGGTTTGGTATTGGTATTTACAACATCATTTTCCAGATTGAAGTTTTCTTAATGTTTTTGATATTTTAATATTTGTTAATATTTTGAGTTAATTAAATTATATAAATGTACTTACTGATGTTTCTTTTGGAGGGACAGAAGGTTGTTCATTTTTATATACTCACTTGTAATTTCATGTGTTCTTTTAAGATCAATAACCATTAAATAGGTAGATTAAACTTTCAAATACTGGAGAATGGGGGAGCTTTGAAAAAGTTATTGTTCAATCAACTCAGGAAGCTTGTGTCTGGAGCTTTATACAGCACTTTTGTGAATTAATAACTTTGTTTCTATATTGTCATATTGATGTTATCTTAAATTTATTTTAGCATTCCCATATTTATAAAAAGAATTTAGAAATGCAAATGGTGGGTCACTAAGAACTAAGAAATTGGATATTAGGTTTGTAAAACCTCACTCATTTTCTATGTTGAAAAACAATTGGTTTCTGGAAGATCTCTAATAAAACTGTTAATAAAATGAATTTATATATAAAAATTGAGTGAGATTTGATAAACTTTAAATGTACAAAGAAAGCTTATACTTCAGTTATTTCATTACGAAATATGATTTACACATAAAACTACTTTTCTTATGCAGAATAATTTTGTATAATATATCTCAGAGCTTCCCAGCAGCTGTGCCTCTCTCTACTATTTGGGTGAAACCAGAAGTGGTGTCTACAAAATCTGGCCTAAAGGTGTAACAGCCAGTGGAAAACGAAGTTTTGAGGTTTACTGCAACATGGATACTTTTGGAGGCGGGTGGACGGTGTGTATTTTTTGTATAAATGAAACATTTATTTAGTATTTACTAGCTAATACTGTTTGTTCAATTTATTTCTAGAATTACAGTTGTGATCCAAATGGACCCTGGCAGCAAGTTTTTATAAACTATCATTCAGTCCATGATTTTGGTCCTTAATACAAGAAAATTTCAACAAAAATACCATCTATATTGTAATCAATCCCATTAATTACTGCTGGGATCCTCTGTTTCATTTAACGTTTTGATTAGTTCTTTACACTGAGTGTTTTAAACATAATATTACTCTTTATGACGCAATATGTGAACACCATTTAAACTGATGGTATGAAAGCTAGACAGTAACTTTCCTGCTTAAAAAAGTAAGCAGAAAAATGTTTTCTACTTTGATTAAGACAAATTTGAATAACTTGTTTAAGTCTGTTTATTTCTTTTAGTACAAAACGACACAATAGGCTATCCTCACTTTGTTCACCATGGTGGCCTGTTATAGCCTGGTGATTAGGGCATTTGACTCGCAAACTGTGGGTTATAGGTTTGAATACCCATCACCAAACATGTTCACCCTTTCTGCCTTGTTGGCATTATAATGTGTCAGTCAATCCCACTATCCATTGCTAAAAAAAGTAGCTCGAGAGTTGACTAGCTGCCTTCCCTCTAGTTTTTCACTGCTAAATGCCCTCATGTAGCTTTCTGTGAAATTCAAAACAAACAAACCAAACTGGTCACCACAGAGAATGAGATCCTAGATATTAGTATTGTAAGTCTGTAAACTTACCACTGATTAACTGGAGGATTATTTTAGTCAAAATATAGTTATGCAAATTTTTATGCCACTAATATGTAGGTGATAAAAAAACAACAATTTTAAATTATTTCAAACAACTCACTGAATTTTCTACATCAATAAATGACATTTATTACTTTCAGCAATGTTTCAGGAAATTTCGTTTTTAAGAGCATCTGTTTTGAAACTTTTTTCCAGCAATCATTATTTTAATTATATATTACTTTGTCATTAATCCATCCTTTGTGTTTTTAATTAATAGGCTCAACTTATGTATATTGGTAAAAAGAACAATTTGCAGTATCATGTTTGACCACATTAACATAGCCCAAGTTTCTAAAGCTTCATAGAAGCTAATTCCATCTAAGAACCAGAAGAATCTTAACTTATTTAATAACATATATGTATGAAAGTTACAAAAATTTTAGTATTTCTTTTATTTTCAACCATTCCAAATTGTTAGTTATGGACCCAGGCCGTTTGATAGTTATTGTTAACATAATGTTGTAAGAAAGTGACGAGAAATTTATTATAAGGTATGCTGATTAGATAAGCCCTGTTCCATTAAAACAATCAAATAGGCATTTATTTTAAGGTAAAGCTCTAACCTGTGTTTCTATATATTAGGCATAACTTATAACTTTTCTATTTTGTAAATTTGAGCACACTTGTTAGCTTGACAGAAAGCATTATGAACGAGCTACTAATAGTAATTTATGGACTTGTCATTTGTCTGTTTCAACCAAAGAAATCAGTAAAAATTGCAAGCTGTATATAACATTTATTAATTACATATATTATATACTATCTGAAGTACCTGTCCGTTGAACAGGTGAAATAAAAACTTGTTTGTAACAAAGGATAGGAAATTGTGCTTCTATTTTTTTTCTCTTAACATAATAAACATTAAAAGTGCAGTAAAAATACATAAAGGTACCAATACCGAAAAGAAAAATATACTGTTTTCAAGAATTCTAACAATGGTGGTTATATAGTTCATTCTAATGCTGAGAGATATACAACACTGGTAGTTTTTGCGAAATTAGATATGAAATTAGAGGGGGGTCCAACCCCTAACCCCCCTCATGACCTTCGTCATGTCATCCTGTATCACTGTGTCAAGTTTGTTGCTGATTGATCAAGAAATGTGGAAACATATAAGGAACAGATACACATACATGTTGACATTTATTTATATAGATTATCAGTTTCAAAATACAACCTTCAAATTATTCCTTCTCATGTGTGCTATTTATGGATGCAGGACTAGGGGACACAAATATAAACTTTAGCAAGGTAGGAGTCATCTTCAGTTAAGACAGTTTTATTTTTCTAAGAGGGTGATTCACCTTTGGAATGGGTTGACTTCAAATGTTGTAGAGGCAGTAAATTTAAGTGAGTGTAAGAAAAAGCTTGATAAATATATGAATGAAAAGGGCTGGGTACAAATTTTTTTTATTTTATTTTTTAAATCATTTTAATTTAGTTTTGAGGATGGAACAGCTGAGATGGACCAATAGGTTCCATGTTGTCCCAAAATATTATGTTTTAGTTATTTCACTTTTTCTATCTTAATCTGGCACCAGGTGATCCAGCGTAGAGGAGACTTTGGAGAACCTAGGGAGAACTTCCACAGGGATTGGAATGAGTACAAAAATGGTTTTGGGCTCATTGCCCAAGAATTTTGGCTTGGTGAGTTGTTCCTTAGAAATAAGTTGTTTTTGTTTTTTTATTTATGTTAATAAATGACCTACCCTGGACAGTTTTGACATTGAATTGTCTGACTGACCACGTAACAAATGCAAGTTTTATTGGTCATAACCTTTTTATAAGAAGTTTAAATGCTTTCATAGCAGTAACATTAGGTAAGAAACAGTTTTTGATGTAGTCATTTTTAGGCATTTTAAACACAAACTAGCATGAAAAATAAGAACTGACTCAAGTAACTTTTATTAAAGGTATACAAAACGATGGTGTACAGTTTTCTGGAATTTTTAATATAGAAACTCATGTCTGGCTTTTAACTCCGTAAGTTTAGCATTGCTGACCATTCTCTTAATATAAACATATATTAGAATGGACATCAGTGATCAATAATATGATGCCATCTGTCAAAAAATAATTTGGGAAAGATGCTTAAAAGTTGCCAAGAGAAATCTCAGAAATTCTCTGGTTTGTTTCAATCAAATCACCTACATAGCCTTATGTCCAGTAGTTCAAAATTAGGAATGAAGGCAGATAGTTTTAGTAGCTTCATCCTAAATTCAAAATACAATACATTATGTATTTAAAATAAAACATGACGTAAATAAATAACACAACATTTATATGTTAGATCAACCCCACCACCCTACCCCACAAAGGGCTATCTGTGCTCTGCCCACCACAGGTATCAAAACCCAGTTTCTAGCATTATAAGTCTGCAGTCATACCGCTGTACCACTGGGGGGCCCCTTGCGAATGAACTGAAAATGACATCATTATAAAGTAGTTATATTCACAAAAATAAAAAATAGTTATATTGAAATTAATAAATCTATCATTTTTTTTAATTCCAAGATGTAACAACAACATTGTAATAACTAACTTTTCAGTAATATATATATATTTATATTATTGTTTTTCGCTTATTTACTGGTAATCTCCCATCTACAACAAACAACCTTAAAGAACAAAACATAAAGAAGTTAAAAATATTCTGTATTACTTTTAAAAAAAAGACGTTAAAGCAAGAAAGATACCAGTAGACAAAAGCCCTAAACAAAGAGAACTGGTTTGTCTAATACAATTAAAGAAACAGAGGCAGGCTAAATAAAAACCTTTTGTTTTTTCACCCTGAGGAAGGACACAAGTTTTTCTAAAAACATTAGAATTGTATCGTTTTTGTTTTTGATAGTACAATAACACCTTATGCCAGTGAAGCATGATCTATCAATCAGTGATTTGTATGACTTCATATCATAAAATGACTGAAAATATTTTTTAACAAACCTGTCCTTAGTGGCCTAATACAGGTTTCCAATCAAGACCTCATTTTGACCTCAAACAGTTATTATAATATTGTTACGTCTCCGTTTCGTTAATTGA